TGTCAAAAACATATCAAGGTAAAATAAACCTTAAATAAATAAAAAAAACTTGACTCAAGGCAACAATACTTTCCATAGGTGCCTCCTGCAATTTCACACTGTGTGACTCCTGAAGAACTGCATGAACAGTCTGATAACAGAGTGACTGTCAACCACTGCGCTGAGATATCGCTTTAATTCTAATATGACCCGTTCAATCTATCTGAAAGGTGAAAGCAGAAACCGAAAACAAGGAATTTTAAACATTTGAATAAAGGTTTGCTTGCTCTGCACCTGAACAAATCGGTTGAAGCATTTTGAGATTCTACAGGCAGGCAGAGCTCCAGACAGTTAAGCTAAAAAGATAAATCTTTATCAGATACATGCTTGTCCAATTCTATTATAGCCCACAGGAAATCACATTCAGTAAAAAGAGTAAAGAGCAAGAGGAGCTCAAGACTGCAAGGTAAAGATATGATCTGGAAAAAAAAAAGAAATAACCACAAATGTTTGTTTTCTTAACTGCACAACAAAACCATAAGGAATAAGGGAACTGCCTAAAAAGGTCATCGATTTCAGAGGCAGTCCATCTCACATTAGAACCAAAAACAAACATTTTAGATATAAAAATATCCACATTTTCACTACAAAGGAAAATGTAGGGCAGTGTCCTTATTGAAAAAGGACACTCTCCTGAGAAGCATTTTCCTTCACAGGAAAGTTTCCTAACATAGGAATGTTTCCTAACATAACATAACAAAGAAAATAATTGAATCAGAACTCCCATGTATAGAAATTGTTACTTTTAAGATTTGTTTATCAAGAAAATAAAAAAATACTTTATAACTTTTTGCACTTATAATTTTCTCAGTGTCATATGTGTATAGATATGTTTTCGGGCTTTCAGTGGACAACATTAGGAAACAAAATAAGATTAATTTTATTTTTGTTGTAGTTTTATACAATGTAGGATATGGTGCATTTACTACTGTGTTGCATCAATTTATTTTCAATAGACCATCAGAACTCATAAACAGAGGAGTGCTGTGGAGGTAAGTTAAAACGTGAAGGGTTTTCCTGTGGTGGCTTTTATATTTCATTTGCTTATTTGTTATCTGATTTTCCCTGTTCCATTATGTGAGACACAAGTGTAGTGGTAAGACAGCATCTACTGTGATGCATTAATGCAGAGTTTATACACTGGTTGACTGAACTGAAAATCAATATTTGATGACAATGAAACAAAACAGTGAACTTATTTAAACAGAAAAAAAAAACCAGAATTCTATTTGCTATGTTTGAATAATAAAATCGACGTCTTGTGTCACTGCTTTAACCTGAAAGGATTTTCTTTTTGCTAAGACATTATTGCCTCAAACACAACAGAATGGTAGATATGATTTCACAGTGTGAATAATATCCAATCATTCTGCTCAAACCTTTGCTGTGAGTGGCAAATTGAAACCACTAAAAGTAAAGAATCACATTTTTACTGGACCTTTAATATTGACAGAAGCAGCATTTTAAAAATGAAAAGTAAATGCTGCCATCCATGTTTTGGTTTTGACCTCCAGCAGTGATGGTAAAATAAAAGTAATCTGCCTTTGAATGTTTAGAGGAAGACAAATAAGTATCAAATGCACGCTTTTATAGAACCGTATTTGTGAATGTTTGTGCTGAAAAAATTAGAATTCATCATCCCTGGAGCAATTTCACAGTGTCTGTTTGTTGTTTTTGTCTGTATGAGACACTTTTTGACAAAAGCAAAATTTGCATATGAATACCAATAATGGGGAAAATTCTGAGGCAATCCCCACTCTGTTTTGCTGCTCCTCTATTATTCTCTAATTTTGTTTGGTTTTTAGACCTGCATTGCTTATATTATGTGCAATGTTGTTCATTATTTTTTGTCTTTTTTTTTATAAGCAACCTTTCAGCTTTCTCATACTATAAATAAAAAGTTAATCCTGTGTCTATTCCCAAAGAGCTTCAATTTTTTTTGACATTTCTTCACTGACCTTGATCATAGCTCGACTTATCATTGCCACTGTCATCCCATTCCTTTCGAAGTTGTTAGAAGAATATACAAGTAAGCCCAGTCTCTCTCGATTGCCTTGTAGAGCTTATTTGCCACAGAGTCTGTCAGTCAGACTCTGAGCTTATCACCATGAAAGCTCTTCAAAGTGAACCTTGTCGCATGAAATATTTGGCAACATTTTTCTCAGAAATGTACAATGTATGACAGAGAATTGCTCAAACGATGTGGAAATCTTGGCTAATCCAAACCAAAGGATTGCACTGCATCCGAATGTTGTTGCTTGCTTGAGTCACAGCAACTCATTTACAAGGAAGCCATGAGAAGGACAATCAGTCTGTAACACCTGAGAGGTCAACAGCCTGCTTTCAGACGTTGCGCCTCATCGTGACAAAGATTAATCACAATCAAACGGAGCTAAGCGTAGAGAAAGAGCTTTGTCGTCTCGAGAGGTGCAGCATAATGGTTGAATTCAATAAGCTTTCAGCTCGGCCTTCATTCAGTGTTGTGTTTGTATCAAACAGAAAAGCAGAGCGAGAGACAAAATTTACAGTTTGTCTTCATCAATGCCTGTGCGGCAAAGATGGATAGAAGTAACAAGACTCAGTTGTCATTTATGCATAGAGATGTACAAGTCGAACACATAAAGGCAATGGTGCACAACAATACATCCA